CATGACAGCTAAAGGCAGTGTGTGATCCCCAGTTGCTATAAAAGATATTATTGAAAATTGTTCAAATTTGTTTGCACCATAGTTATGGAAGAGAATGTCCTTATTTGTAAAAAATAAACTAAAAGTATTCAGGGCTAATGGGGGTGATTATGTCCCAAATTTGCTCTCAATGGTTCAGGAAAACAAAGTTTCTTGTAACTTTCTGTTTTTTAAAATTATGCACAAGTAAAAATACCTTTAGCATTAAAGAAATATGTCTGAAATTACAGCATTGCACTGACTTGGTTTAAGTGTCAGAAGAGCTAATTTATCCATGTTTTCAGTGTTCTGTGTTAATCTATATGAGGCTATAGTGTAGTTCTTCTATTTTCATATTAAATACCATTTTCCCACATTTTTGCTGACCAATAATGAAAATATCTTACCCGGACATAAATATTAGTTGCTTTTCCAAGGAATCAATATTGGGTGCTGGCATCAGCTGGTTGGATTGGAATCCAGCTGCCAACACTTGCTAGCTGTGAGCCCTTAGGCACATTACTTAACATTTCTGCACTTCATTTTCCATATTCATGAAATGTGAATAATAATCATGTCAACTTCACTGAGTTGTTCTCAGAATTCAATTTTATAATCTTTTCAAAGTATATAGACATTGAGTAGAACATAACTAATATTCAATAAGTGTTAGCTAGTAGTAACTAGTATCTTGCTGCCTACATGGCTCAATTAAATAAAATATAATTATCATAGTTGACAGTACATCCTCTTTGACAGCGAGCCCCCCTTATATAAGGTTCATTTATTTTTCAAGCATGTATCCTCTAGAGAGTTTTTATAAATATGCCAGACAAAAATGTAGCTGGTTGTCAAAAATACAAAATTAAAGACTAAATTTTTATAAATAAAAAATGCTAATTAAAAAAATCTTTAAGCTCTCCTGAATTGAGAAAAAATAATATTATAGTATTTATATTAATCAGCTATTCTGTAATGATACTGTGTGACAAATCACTCCAAAATGCAGTGCCTTACAACAGAAATATCTTTTTTCATGGTCACAGGTGGTACAGGTTGGCTATGGCTCAGTTGATGTAGGTAGTGCTCTGTTGGGCAGTACATTTTCAAGGTGTGATTTGCCTGGGCTTAACTCCAAACTCTGGCTCCAGTTGAAGTCTGCGCCATAATATCTCTCCTCTTCTTTAAACCATTGCTAACGGGCATTCTTATCACAGCAAGTGTCAGAAGCACTAGCACCAAGTTCAATTAGGCAGCACATTTAAGCCCCCTGCTCACATCGTGCCCACTAATATTTCATTAGTCAAATCAAGTCACTTGGGGTCAAGTCCAACATCAATGGAGTGAGAAGTATTCTCTGCCTACAGAGGGAGGACACTGAGATGCATAAAAAACACATTACTGGAAATGGAAGAATTGGAGTCTATAATCCAATTTGCAATCCACAGTGTTTGAATGGCCTGTGCTCTGTCCATGTCCAGAAATCCAGGGAGCTTTGTAAGAAATGGCAATAGTGCACCAGCAGGCAGCAAGCAGCAGGTTGTTTCCACAGCTGCAAGGATGGATCTGCTCTGATTTACTTTTGATCCCACGCACAGTTCACAAAAGGAACTACAGATATCAGGAAAGTAATTTGTGGCCATGGCATTGAGATTTTGTCCTTATAAAACTTTCTCATATAGAATGACACATGGACTGCATACTTATCATCTTCCAACCAATGGTACCTTCCTTCCACTTACATGAATTCACTTTACAGCAAGAGTCTCTCATTTTTATTTCTATAAAATTTCTGAAATATCTTGCATATGGTTAAAACAGTGAGAATTTTTGCAGGTCACTGTGGTCTTGGGCATAGGAAAATAAAGCATCATATGACACATCAATGCTGTGGAAATGTATCTTCTGAAGTAAATAATCACCTTTTAGTGTATTAACAGAGAATTCAGCTCCTGTAGGACATTTTTTAAGCTAACAAATAGTATGTTATTTTCCTGTATTTCTTCATGTTTATTATATATATATTTTTAATTAATTAATTAATTTATTTATTTTTTAATTTCAGAGAGAAAGGGAGAGAGTGATGAGAGAGAATCATTGAATGGCTGCCTCCTGCACGCCCCCTACTGGGGATCAAGCCCACAACCCAGGCATATGCCCTTGACCAGAATCAAACCCCAGGACCTTTTAGTCCACAGGCTGACATTCTATCCACGGAGCCAAATCAGCCAGGGCTATTATACGCCTTTTACTAGTAAATCCCTTCTAAAAACCACATATTTAGATTCCCCACTCCACTCAACTTTATGTTTATGTGCTTCCTATGAATATAACTAGACAAACAAGGCTGATAAAAAAAAGCTTGTCCTTATAAAATCCTTATTGGTAACTGTGTAATGAGATTTTTTTTTTTCCTACCAGTAGAAGCTCACTGTTTCACAAAGAACTCAATCGTTTGAGGCATATAAAATGGATGGAAAGTTATAAGTCAGCCAAACTGTCCTTTTAAAAGAGTGAAATGAATGCTAATCTAATTGCCCAAGAATGCATCAACTGGGTTTTGAAAGTAAGACTTCTACACTGGGTCCCCCTGCTGGATTTGCAGATGCATGTCTTTGCAAATTGGTGAAAGCAGTATACCTGACCCTTTTCATTTGAGGGCATGTGACTCCAATGACAAATCCAGCATTCTTTTAGAATGCATGTTTCCGTGATAAACATGGGAAGTGTCTCTTGAGTTTTCTGTCCAAAGGCAGAAATGCTATAACCAGAACACTGTTTGGCCAAGACTCAAAGTGGAAAACAAAAGCATGCCACTCAGTGGCTGTATGAGGGAATGGGATGGCAGGTGAGGATAAAGGTACAAACTCAGTAACAGTAGACTAGGAAGACAGCCAAACTGGTTTGTATTGACTCAGGGATCTGCCCATGAATTTAATTTTCATGCATTTAGAACTACTGGAACCAATTTCTCACTTTCCTATGACTTAATTATTCTCTTTTCCTTCCTTTCTTCACAAGAAAGTGTTTTACCCCCACTCCTTAGGAGATGTGGTAACTAGACTAATTTTAAAGGCAACATGTCACTGTAGACTTCAAGCCCATAGCGAAATTTGTGCTAAAATGCCTGTCTTTGGGTGAGACAGATAAGTTGGCAGATTTTTCCTGTTTGACTCTGAGCCTGTTTGATGAGAGGAAGAGGGGAAATACTGACCTATGTTTTTGACACGTGCTCCTGAACTAATTTGCCTCATTAAGGAAGCAAGAGCAGCTGGGATGGCTGTTTCATTCCCAGAGCAAAAGCCAATGCCCTGGCCCACTCAGAGAGCCAGAGAGAAAATGTCAGATCATCATGTGGTCGGTGTAAAAACCCAATGGAGAACATTGGAGTTAGGTAGCTATAGAGCTGCCGCAAGTCCTCATATTAAAAGTTAGACGATATCCCCTAAGTTGTCCCCCAGTGCAAGGCAGACATAATTCTACCCACACTCATGTATTCAATTATAGCATTTCTTCCCTACTGTCACTCTTTTTATTCGTTTACTTTCGTCATTCTATTATAAACTTTTTTTCAGCCAGGTCAACTCTGAATGTTTTCCCATCTGCTACTCTCCTCACTAGGTTATTTTCCAGAGCTGCTTAGGGAAATGTTTCCCATTGTTTCTCTGAGGCACTTGTATTAGCTCTGCTAGTTGAGTTCTCCTCTGGGGAAAATTCATGATCCTCTTGCTTCTGGATGAAGAGTTGGTAGGAATAGCAGATGGTGGGTCAAAGCACTCAAAACAAGGTTAAGTGATATGGGCCTGGTTGTGGGTCAGGAATTTTAAAAGGGCTCAGCTGGGTGAATCTTCTGCTCCTTGTGTCTTTGGCTGAGGCCTCGTTCAGCTGCATTCAGCTGGCAGCTGGGCTGGGTTAAAGGGTATAAAAAAGCTTCACTCACATTTCTAGCTTCTTGGTGCTCTGCCGTGTGGCCCTTCACTCTCTCTAGTTGGTAGACTAGCCCGCGCGTCTTTACAGTATGACAGCCGGCTTCTCAGGGGGAGAAAGTAGATGCTACTCGTTCTCAGTGGCCTTCGCTCAGAGGGCCTACATCACCTCCATGTTTCCATTTGCCTAAGCAAGTCACAGCACCAGTCCGGATTCAAGGAAAGGTGAGAGAGATTTCACTTCCCGATAGACAAAGGACACAGTAAAGTATGCTGATAGTTTCTGCGTCTCTGTTTTCTGTACTTTACTTGTTTTATATTTTGTTTCTGTATCTTTATATAAATTTATCATTGAAAAATTTTTTTCCAAACAAAAAGAGGCTTGGAAAGCCTCCCAGCAATGAGTTATAAAACATTCCTTTATTTGCCTTTGAAACATTTGTTTTTCTATGCATAAATTCACAGAAATATATTTTTTAAGCTTAAAGTAAATGTTAGTTTCTAGCGGATAGTCACCATTGCAGCTGCCCAATTATTTTTCAAGTATTTATGTGTGATAGTGTAAACTTGACCATAATTTGTTCAAAAAAAAATTCATAGCGTAGATATGTTAGGCTTTAATGTATCTGTTAAATAAAAACAGATATTTTTACAATATATTTCAAACAGGAAAATAAAGGACATATAAACTTAACCAAGTTTTCTTACACAGTGTATATTGCTTGAATCAAGGGAGGAAAATTTGGGTTTAAAATCTGTATTGCATTTTGGGAAATGCTGTTCTAGGAGAGAGATGTTACTAGAACTGCTGAGTGAATTTTGTTTACTGCAGTTCAACATTTCATCAAGCAAATCGTGTGGAAGGGAGGAATATGAATGTACCTTTTTATGTAGGTAATTTTTCTGTTTCATACCTCTGATTTATCTCTCTACCTTGCTTTATGGGGAGTCATGCTACATTGGTTACAATTAATTTCAGTGCTGCATATTAGCCATAAAGAGATATTTTATAAATTGACTTGATGTAATGTTTTCCCTCTGTGGTTTTCTTGAAAGATGAGAACGGTCCAGAGGAAAAGCAAAGCGCGGAAGACATGGAGGGGCCGAGCCAAGAAGCAGGTGGGCTCAGATTTCTTTTGAAGAGTCTCCTAGGCCTCATCCACAGAGGTGAACAACGACTTTACTCAGTTCTGTTTTCTGAAAATGCTTCTCCTTTTCACCAGGTTAACTTCACTTCCATTCAGGTCTCCCTCAGGAAGCCACCAACTCTATTAACTCGGAGTCACAGGGCTTCCTCTCAGAAGGGGACATTGTCGTGTCTCATTCACTGATTCCATTTTTCTTCCATGTAATTACAGCTTGCTTAGCAGAGATCTAGGAGGGCTGAGCAGAGGTTGGAGTGCCAAGTCAGAGCGTGGCTGACTTAGGGCAGGTTTGAATGAGCAGATGTGATTTGGGGTGGGGAGAAGAAATAAAAACTGTTTAAAAGAATTAAGTGAGAGGCTTCCCCTCCCAATGAGCGGCGTGTTCCTTACTGTTTGCATTACATTGTGAAGAGCCGCATGTCTGGTTATTTCCCTGTGTGTGGTGGGAGGTGGTGTCGCTGAGCCTGACCACCCCACACACACAGCTGAAGTGAGATCCGAAGGCTTCCTGACATCCCCTCTGTTCACCACAGAACAGATGTAGCAATTGAATGTTTACAGATCTTCGACTGTAGATTACAAACTGAACGTTTAAAAATGTTCAAAAGTCTCCCAAGAGATTATTATCACCTTCAATGTATCATCTCTTTTCTACCCACTTTGTACTCAGGCGTGTTCTCCTTTTAAAAACGGTAGACACGGTTATGCAGCGATCAACATAACCACCCAAACTAAATTACCCTTTTCTTTAGTTGCAAGTCATTCGCCCAGTTCTAATGAGCGCTGGGGTGGCGGGGGGTGCATTTTTGAAATAGTGGCTTTATCTAATGTGTGCCAGGCACGTCCTGGGCTCTTTGCTGAACTCTTGGAAATAAACCAGGTGGTGGGATAAGTTTTGCAATGGAAACTTCTTACATTAACCTTGGAACTTTTGCAAGAGAACTGGAGGCTTTTATTATTGACCTGGAAGATGGAATTGAGGAAGGCCAATCAGAGAAAGCAGTGAAGCAAGGCAGCAGGGACCTTGCGCAGCTGCTCCAGGGTCAGTGGGCTCCCTCTGCTGAGATGCAGTGCTTGCAATGAAATGAATTCTGATACTGCAAACTGTTGTCATTCACGCCCCCACCCGGCTCCCGACCCACACATCATTATGCTCCACGGAAGATGAGTCTTATGTGAAAAGCTGTCACCGTTTTGACTGGTTGGTATGATAAATATTAGTCAGCTAACTGCTGACAGTTTAGGCCATCCACTGAATGCTGAGGATTCACAGGTTTTTTCACTCACTGCTCTGTCTCAAATGGTTTTGATCAACATAGAATTTTCCTGTCCCTGTTTACACATATGTACGCACAGGCACCCGTACATGCAAGCACACACATTTTACCTTTGTTTTACTTATTTCCCTCTTTCTTCTTAATCAGTTGAGTACAGGCAGTTTCTTTTTTTCATTTGAGGTCATCTTGCCTGTTAACAGGCAAATAAAATGTAATCCCTCTTCTCCACCTTTGGATCAATAGTGTCATTACCACACTATGGGAACCTCTCAATGTGAAAAAAAAACAAAAACAAAAACAAAACAAAACAAAAAAACACCTCTTGCTCTTCCAAATGAGTTGGTGGGCTGGCCTGGGGCCCAGGGCAGGGTTTATCGACGACCCTGGCCAGTGCCAACACACACCGCTATGCCCACTCTGCTCATTTCAGTCTCCCAATCCAAGTGCAGAGAAACTGAAGATGTGGTTCTAGTTACTAAAGCCCTTTGACCTATGTACTTTTATTCTTCCAAAATGCAAACACGTGCATTTCATTCAATATAATTTCCAACTTTGATTTTGATTAGACAATTCTGCAGGCCTCTTCCACATCAAAAAAAAAACCCATGTTCTTAAACTAGCATAATCCATCCATTTTTACTATTGTCATAATCAGACCAAATCAAAGTGGTAGATAATATTCCTCAGTCATTTACAGGCACTGTCTGGACACTGGGACACAGCAGTACACTATAAAGACAATATCCCTGAAAGCTTAAAGCTGATATTCTGATGGGGAGGTCCAAAAATAATAACAAAAAGGTGTCAGATAGTGACAGATGCTTTGCAGAGAAATGAGGAAATGTAAAAGGAACACTGTGAAGGCCTGGGGAGAGAGTGGGAGGGGGAAAAGTGGACCAATGGGTGGGAAAGGGGGCATCTGTAATACTTTCAACAATAAAGATACATTTTAAAATTAAATCGAAAAAAATTAGATCTAAGTGATGAGATGATGGAAGTCCTTTAAAATGGGAACAGGTAATGCAAATGCCTCTAGGCCCATTTGAGTTGGCACGTTGCTGAAAGAAGGTGGAATGGCTGGAGCATGGGATGGGAATATGGTGTAAAGCACATGTGTCAAACACAAGGCCCGCGGGCCAAATCCGTCCCGCCAGGCCTTGCAATGTGGCCCGCAAATGCGCTGTCATCACTGCACTCCACTGCGTTTCCATCACAATGACAGTTTATGACTGTTCAGTAAACCATTTGGCCTGCGATTTAGGCTGGATTTTAGATTTTGGCCCCTTCTCTGATTGAGTTCGACACCCCTAGTGTAAAGTCTTGTAAGAGGTTGTAGTTCAGATTACTTCTGACTGAATGAGATGTGATTTTATGAGAACTGCAAAGAGAAGCCAGTGGGTGTTTTTAAGAAGAGGAGAGACATAAGCTATGTTTTATTTTATTTTCATTTGTTTTTTTAAGGTTATCTTTGAAAAGTACTGTATTTTTAAAAGTACTGTTGAAAGTACAACAAATGTTCCTCTTTTTTCCCCCCCACTGACCTCCTCCACCCTGCACACCTACAAGCCTTCACACTATTGTATGTATCCATGGTTATACATATATGTATGTAATCAGCTTGCTTTGGCTATGGGTTAAATGGTCTAAAGAGCAGGACTTTTGAAGAGTGAGAACAGTTAGAATGTACCATAGGAAAGCAATGATGGTGATTTCTACAACTGGAGACAAAAATGGACTGGTTTGTGTTACATTCTAGAGACAAAGGTAACAGGTAATGCTAATGGATTGGAGGTGGGGAGTGAGAAAAGAGGAATAAGTCTTAAGTTTGTTGTTGTTTTTAATGTTTTCATTGATTTCAGAGAGCAAGGGAAAGGGAGAGAGAGTTAGAAACATCCATTATGAGAGAAAATCATTGATCAGCTGCCTCCTGCATTCCCCACAGGGGGATCGAGCCCATAACCCAGGCATGTGCCCTGACAGGGAATGGAACTGTGGCCTCCTGGTTTATAGGTCAATGCTCAACCACTGAGCAAAGCCAGCTGGGATAGTCCTAGGTTTTTAACACTGGTTAATTATGGGATGGTGGTACCACTTACCTATACAATCTGTGGAGGATTGCCATAGGGCTCAGCTTTTGCTAAGAAAGTTAAATTGCTCAGTTTTGGCCATGGTAAAATTGAGAGAACTCTTAGCCCAAAGGAATGTCAAGAACCCAGTCAGATATATAAGTCTGGGTTTCTAGAGAGAGCTCTAGACCAGAAATATGGTTTTGAGAGTCACTGGCATGTAAATTATATTTAACAGCATGAGACTGAATAAAATTCACTAGAAAGAACATGAGTAAAGAAATCAGTGAGCCCTGGGACACTGTTACATCTAGATATGTGGCAACAGGGGAGAAGGAGCAGCCACATGAGAGAGTATTTTAGGAAGAACAGAAAAGAAATGTTACTGAGAAATCAAATTCAAGCAAGATAAGGGGAACAGCCATTGGATTTGGCAAAGGTGGTCATTGCCACCTTTTGTAAGAGAATTCCTGGGGCAGTATGGAAGCCACTTGAAGTGTGTTGTGGAGAGGTTGTGCCCCGAGGAAGTATATTACAGATAGCTCTTTTAGGGAGTTTTGCTGAGAAGAGAAATAAAGAAATGGGAAGATGTGACCTCAAGGTTAATAGTTTATTCTTTCTTTGTTAAATAGGAAATTGTCATTTAACAAAAGAAAATGATTCATTATTTCCAATTATACCCCTACTAAAATTTTTATTATTTGTTCCAATAGAGACAGGACCTAAAAGTAATAATCATAACCATTATGCACAGGACATATGCTAGCAAGTATGGGATTTGTCTTTAAATGTGCGTTAGTTGCCATGTATGTATAATACTTTAGTTTAAGGACCCTGTTATTGCAGGAAAATAATAGGTACTATTCCTTTTCCAGTTGCCAAGCATTAAACATTCCAAATGCTTTTGGTAATCTTTCATGTATTACATTTACCAGTTTCATGTTAGTAAGATAATTATCTATTCCCCTGCAAGCCAAATGTGAGTGGAATCACTGGGGTGCCCGGGTACTGAGAAGACAGACTCTGAGGAGGTTAATTGATGCTCTAAGGGACGCAGGGGCCTCCAAGTCCCTTCTCCCCACTCTGCGCTTGGGTGATGTGAAACCTCCCAGTGGCTCATGGTGCTTTCCTCCCAGGGATCCCCTTCTCCTGGGTCTGTGCTGCCAGCCTTCAAAGAGCTCCCTGCAGGTTCACAGCCTCGCACCACGGCGCAGAGGTGCTGTGCTAAGAAAACCAACTCTGAAACACACACACATGAAAGCACTTTGTGGAAACTCACAAGAGTATCCTTTCCTCCACAATCTGTTTTAAGAAGGTGTGCCATCCTGCTAAAGGTGGGGAAGAAGGAAGTACAATAGTACCAACAAACAGCATTTAAAAAAAAAAAAAAAAGTTCACTGGGCTCTGTCTTAACTGAAGGTTTCTGTTTCATTAATTATAAGAGAATCACAAACCACTAACCCCTTCAAAGACTGTTTGTATATGAGAGCATGAAACAGTTTCATATTCCTGTGGTCTAGTGGGGGCTGGGGGGACATGCTGGCAGGGAGGCTCTGCTTGGCAGCATTAACTCTGAGCCGGTGTTTCTCTTGTCTGCTTTGTAGATGGCATCAGTGCTGCTACTGTGCACAGCCCTGCTGCAGAAGAGGCTGCTGAAGTCTGTAAAGACGAAGGTAAGAGGCTCCTACTACATCTAAAAATCAAAATTGCTTAGGAGGCCATTTGTTTTATATAGAAAAATGATGCAGCTAGCAAAATCTTATCTAATTCTCTCGAAGCATCTCTGTTTCAATAAATTACCTCACCCACTCTGCTTTATTCCAATCAGAATTTACATGTGCATTTACATTTGTTCCTCTGAAAAGTAACTTGGTGAAACAAGAGAATGATTGGAGAAATTATGTTTAAAGATGTTTAAACAGAAATAGGCATTTCTGCTGTTTATGGCTACACTTCGGGAATAAGTGAAAAGAGTGGCTTTTGGGAACCACCTACCAGAGAGCTTCATTATCCAGACATAAGAAGGAAGAAGTTTGAAAAGCATCCTTAGAAATAGATCTTTGGCAAGAGCATCATTCCTCATTCTATGGACAGTGATTATGAGGAAATGTTGCTGACCCAAATATCTCCAAAGGAAGAAAAATCTTGATTTTCATTATAAGAGAAAATTTGAGGGAGAAATAGTGGATAGTGGAGACATTCATGCTTCTTTGTCTTCAGATCTTCATATATATATATATATATATATATATATATATATATATTAGTTATTTTATCTCCCTCCTAATTAATTGTCCCTACACAAAAAGGTAACATTATTTTATTTTATTTTATTTTATTTTATTTATTTTTGGTATCTATTTTTAAAATTTTATTTTTCAATTACAGTTTATATTCAGTATTTTGTGTTAGTTTTAGGTGTAGAGTATAGTGGCTAGACCATCTGTACTCTACAAAGTGCTCCCCTTGATATTTTAAGTACCCACCTGGCACTTACAGTTATTACAATATTACGGACTGTATTCCTTAGGCTGTATTTTATATCCCTGTGACTATTTTGTAACTACCAGTTTGCAGTTCTTAATCCCTTCACCTTAAAAAGGTAGTATTATTTTATATCTGTCACTGGTAACTACTGAAAAAAATCCTCCTGTTGTATTTGTACAAATGGACAGCTGGTGATCTGCTTGAGATTTTTGGATAGATATGCTCAGTGTGTTTCTTTAGTTTGGAGTATTATGAAAATAAACCCATACTTGACAATTGATATTGGCATAGTATCTAAATGCCTTGAACTGGTGTTTAGAAAATTAAAGTTGTCCTGGAAGTCTAATACATGGCTATTGGCATCACTCATTTCATGTTGCCTGGTAAATGAGCTTTTCTCAATGAGGTTTCCTGTGTACTGAGGGGGTTTGGGATGGGTGAGGGCTGCCTGAAGCTGGGAAAATAAGTTCCTCATTCTTGAAGGGAGATCTGGGTGGCCCAACAGCATCCTATACACTATTATTTCACTGGTCCTCATCTTGTTCACTGCCACTTTTTAAATGAATCCCTTAGCAACTCCCTTCACGTACCCAGATATGTGTCCTGACATTCCTGGTTTTATCTGATATATTTATCCCTGATTATTTGCTATATCTAAAAATACAAATAATGTCAGATATTCAGATAGGTTCCGATAAGAAACTCAAGGTCATTTTAGAGAAAGAGATAAACCTGACCAAGTCAGAGTGAAAAGACAGAAAGTGATGTTCCTCCTAAGTAAATGATTTTGGACAGTCCAATCATGTAGCTGTGAAAGAATTCTTTCTGTAAATCTCATGAAGTTGAATGGCAGAGTTTAGGAAACAAGAAAGAGAACCTAATTTAAGTTCTTCAAGCTGAGGTGTTTTCCTGTTGAGTTGTTTGGGTTGGAGATATAACACCTTTATAGAAACACAAGGCTTGTGATGTTTCTTGATGCTTTTAGGATACCACACCATTAATTCCAGGATCAATTTCTCAGAATGCTTTTAGGATTTTTTTTCTACATGAAACCTGTAATGGTGGTAACTTCCAAAGAGTTCTGCCATATATTAAAAATGCAGTTCCCTAATAATGACTAAATGTGACATTTTAAAGATTTTACTAAAATACATTTTTAATATGCATTACCTCTCAATCTAGGGGAAAGTGTTTTAAAATCCCCATTAGCATGTAAACCACTACAAATAGAGCATATAGGATATAATCTTTTTTTTAAATATATTTTATTGCATTTTTACAGAGAGGAAGGGAGATAGAGAGCTAGAAACGTTGATGAGAAACATCAACCAGTTGCCTCTTGCACACCCCCTACCGGGGATGTGCCTGCAACCAAGGTACATGCTCTTGACCGGAATCAAACCCGGGACCCTTCAGTCCGTGACCGATGCTCTACCACTGAGCCAAACCAGCTTCGGCAGGATATAATCTTTGCCTTCTCATTTTTGAAATGGCATGTACCATTGTTTTTGTTTTTAATTTATCTTTATTGTTGAAAGTATTAGAGATGTCCCTAATTTTTTTTCTATTGACCCCCTCCACCTTGCACCCACCCTTCCAAGGTCTTCACCACACTATTGTCTATGTCCATGGGCTATGCATATATGCAAGTAAATTTCCCAGTGAATCTCTCCCAACCCCACCACCCCTGCCTTCCCTCTGAGATTCATGTCTATTCCATGCTTCTATATCTCTGAATCTATTTTGTTCAACAGTTTATTTTGTCCATTAGATTCCATATGTTTACTAGATTCTCATATGAGTGAGATCATATGATACTTATCTTTCGCTGACTGACTTATTTTGCTTAGCATAATACTCTCTAGGTTCCTCCATGATGTCTCAAAGGGTAAGAGATCCTTCTTTTTTACTGCTGCATAGTACCCCATGTTAGAAATGTACCACAATTTTTTCATCCACTTGTCTATTGAAGGGCATTTGGGCTGTTTTCAGATCTTAGCTATTGTAAATTGTGCTGCTATGAACATAAGGGAGCATATATTCTGATGGTGTGTCAAGTTTCTTAGGATATACAGTGGTGCCTCGCATAAAGAACGCCTCGCACAGCGAACGCTGCACACAACGAACTTCATTTCATGATTCATACAACGAACTTCGTTTCACACAACGAAGTCGCACGAACTTCCACGACCGCTTTGCCCGAGCTTCCACGACTGCTTCGTCCGAGCTTCCACGATCGCTGCCGATGTATTGCATCCTTCCGCGCAGGCACTGCAGGCAGTCGTTAGTCACTGTGCTTAACTTAAGCACGTATCGCGGCAATCGTTCTTCATTACGAATTAAATCACGCACGTATCACGGCAGTCGTCCTTTTAAGTTAAACTCAATATTTTTTTTATATCGTGGCTTCTAAAAAAAGCAGGAAGGTGATTTCTGTTGAAATGAAACAGGACAATGCTCAAAGAGAAGCATCATCTGATAACGAGGAGCAACAATCAAACAATCAACCAATCCCAACTGCTGACATCAAGAACATCCTGGTCAAATGGAAAGCAGTTCAGTTTACCAATGCCCACTATCCGGATTCAGCTGAAGCAAACAGGATCAACGATCTTTACTCCGATACTCTTGTCCGTTATTTCCGGCAGATGTTGGAGAAAAGAGAAAAACAAACGACTTTGGACAGGTTTTTCATGAAACCATCGGCCAAAAAGCAGAAAATGGATGAAGATGTGCAAGATTCGGTAGACTCTACTTAGTCTGTCTTAAAATTAAAAAAATGTGTTTTTTTAAAAAAAATTATGTTTTTAGATGTATCTAAATAAAAATAATAACAAAAAATTTATCTTTTTTTATGTCATCTTAGCATATTTTATGCTACAGAACGAATTATTTTTTTAAACATGTATTGTTATGGGAAAATGCGTTTCACATAACGAACTTTTCGCATAACAAACTTGCTCCTGGAACGAATTAAGTTCGTTGTGTGAGGCACCACTGTATTCCTAGAAGTAGGATCACTGGACCAAATGGTAGTTCCTTTTTTATTTTTATTTTATTTTATTTTTTTAAGGAAACTTCATACTGTTTTCTATAGTGGCTGCACCATTCCCAGCAGTAGTGTACTAGGGTTCTCTTTTCTCCACATCCTCACCAGCATTTGTCATTTGTTGGTTTCTTGATGATAGCCCTTCTGACAGTAGTGAAGAACTATGTCATTGTTGTTTTAATTTGCATATCTTTGATGATCAGTGACTTTGAGCTTTTTTTATGTGTCTCTTAGCCTTCTATATGGACATTATACCACTATTTTTAATTGATTATTAGTTTAAAGCTTAGGACTGCTATCTTGACTGGTAGTTATATAGCTTAGAATGAAAAAAAGAAATGAATTTGCCATTGAAATCTCCCAAGATTGAGGTCAAATTGAAGTTAATAGGGTTGGGGATTCATTTCAAATATTCAACATTATTAGTTTCATGCAGAAGTATATCTCCTTGGTGCCAATTGGGCTATTTATGAGCTCTGCAGTTATTAGATTGCTTATAAAATGCATATTAAACTCTCCCATTTAAAAGGCAGAACATGTTTGCTGACCAAGCAGCCTGAAGGAGGGTTTGCTCTCTTGCCTTTGCTTCCAGACTCAGATCCTGACCCAGCATCTTCTTCCTGGTTTGGGAACAAACAATCTAATGAACTGCCCGTGTGTCTGTCTCTCTCTCTCTCTCTCTCTCTCTCTCTCTCTCTCTCTCTTCTTCTTCAAGACTCATCAGTAATTTCCAGCTTTGCTTGATGGTTTATCTGGCTTTGCATTTTTCATAACTTTGGATTCTGCAGGTTACTAGCGTCTTCAAAAGAGAATGGAGTGCAAGGCTTAAAACAAGCAAACAAAACATGGGCTGGCTCATGTGCCTTGGTTTGGGAGCTAAGATTTTTTTTTTAATTAAAATTGGTATGTGAAAGTTGAATAATTTCAAGAGGAAGTGTCTTTGGAGGTATCTATTATCATAGTGAGTTTGTTTAAATGTTTTGGACATATTTCCCATTAGGTACTTAGAATGGATGCATATCATCCATGTACCCCACATAATTGCTAACAGTGCAAGCTGCTGACAGAAGCAGGTACCAATGATTGACTTATGCCTCAATAGCTAGATAGTGACCTGCAGACTGAAGACACCTGTTT